GCCGATTAACAGCTATAAAAATAGCAGGAATCAGAGCGCGGTGCAGAATTGCTCAGTGACCGGACCCACTTTTGACCAGTGCATGTATCTAATGAACTCTCACCCTGGTGCTCACATCCAGGTGATCCACACCTTGGTGCGTAACGTTAGGACAAACGAGTTACTCAGCTTTTAAAGATTTATGAAGTAACAACATACTGAATTTCATGTTCAAAATTTTTCCTTTATCTTCAGTATAGATCTCCCATAAATAGAAATTTTTCTTTGCTTAAAAAAAATAGAAAGCATAATCCTGTGATTATGAACAGAAATTAGTATGAAATCACTTGGGCATCCCTGACTTCACCAGAGACTGCCAGCATTCCCACAGAAGAGCTGGGTGAATACAGTTTCCTCCCCGTGTATAAAATGGGTGCAATACAAGCCACAGGATGCATATAATCTAAATTAATCACTTGTTTTATGGCATTTACATGCACAGGCAGAAGGCGTTGATGTAAACTCACTCTCGTTTCCAGACTTTTGAAGGGCGTTTTCCTTTTAGAAATTTGATTGGAATGGAAAAAGATTGAAAGAACAAAGACCTATGCCAGGTACACACAGTGTATGTATGTTATTGAATTTCACAGCCAATTTACTAGCACTACATACAGATTTATATTTACAGATATTACACCTACAATACTAGATCCCATACAGATTTTATATCACAGATATTATACCTAACAAAAGTGTTTCACTTACCAAATAGATTAATTATAGCACTGCTAAAACACAGTGTTTGAAAGGCAGGTGTTACCCAATCATATGGGTCACGGAGACAAATTAAACTAAGATCTGAAAAGCCAAGTGAAAAGAGAAATATCAGGGGCAATTTCATTTTGGAAAAAGCTCCCAGGGATTTCAAATCTTACTCACACAAGTAAATTTTACACTATTGGGCATGACAATATTTCTGACTTTAATGTTAGCACAGAATGATGAATGGTTTGTAGCGCTACAAAATTTCAAAACATTAATAAGTATTACAAAATTTTACTTAGAATCTTGCAAAACTGTTAGTGTTAAGGAAACTAATCTGTGATGTCACCCAAGGCACTCCGCTTCGGTGTCAACAATTATATATGATAATACAGAAAACACAATGTTGAAATTGCTTTGCTAAGCATGAAATTATTTTGTAGCTCTCTCTAAGCTAACCAGTTTAGAGATCTGGTGGATCATATGACAAAAATAAATACATGGATCTCTTTCCAAAAAACTGGGGCTTCACGTATTTAGTTTGCCTTTTCTCCTCACCTTCCCCATAATCAATGTGTGGATTGGTTCCATGGTATACATACCAAGGAATGAAAATCTGTAGGATCTGCTCGTAATCTGGCAGACTTTCCCAGTGGTGAATTAATTGATTCCACTAAGTTCACCAGGGTGAAGAAGTCACAGAGCGGATAGAGGTCATCTCCTAAAGCACGCGGCCAGGCTTGTGCTCCTTCGTGTCTCCCACATAGTCTAAAAACTCACAGTGAGATCCTGGCCCCCATCAATAGAAATGTCCTGTTTATTTCAATATTTAAATAGATCAATCTGACTTGCCTATACTAGGAAAATATGGATTTCACCTTAGGAATGAAATTTTTCTCTGCTGACTGCAAAATGAACAGAGGACAACTAAATCGGTTAGAGATACGTCCAGAATCAATGCTCACATTTTGACATTCCACTATGGGAGCCAAATTCTAAATCTCTAGACAAATTTTCCATCTTAAATGAGCTGTTGAAATACCACTGAAGTGGGCAGGAAATGTGACCTGGATGTCACACTTAAGTCACTAGCTGCTGAGCAGACTTCCAGCTCAGAGGCATCAGTGCATGTCAGGCAGCGCGGGGTTCCTCCCCTCTCCCACACCAGTCAGCGCCTGGAGTCAGGCACTGCTGAGTGGTTCTCGCTTTTCCATCAAATCTGCACCACGACTTGGTGAAAGAGGAGAAAGAAGAGCAGAGACAGCAGCAGCAGCAGCAGTTCCTGACCTCGGTGCTTCTCCCTTGCCGTCACCCTCTTCCCCTGCCAACCTGGTCTAGCTACACCGGGAGAAAGAAGAGCAGAGACAGCAGCAGCAGCAGTTCCTAACCTCGGTGCTTCTCCCTTGCCCGTCACCCCCTTCCCCTGCCTCCCTTGGCATACTGTCTTTCTCCTCCCTCAGGGACATCTATTTAGGACATCTAAAAGCCTGAAATATCTTGTTGGAAATTGGAATAAGGTAACACTTGATCAAGCTGGTTAGTCTGGACAGGGTCTAGAGGGCTGCCCACCTATCTCAAGTATGGGAGGTCATGACAGAAGGGGTTGGGAGAGAGAAGGATGGGCAGGAGAAGGGGATACTGAAATAATCTCCATAAAAACTGGAAACCACCGCCGATCCATTTTCCATCTTTTGCGACTGAACTTCGAGGAAATTAACTGGACTTAGAGCCTAAAAGTGATTTGAAGTTTTATATAAGCACCTTTTTTCTTAAAAAAAAAAAATTGACTATGTTTTCTCTTCGTAGAAGTCCTCTGGAAATCAACTGTGATCTTATAAGGTCACAGTCTTGAAAATCTAGTCACACAAGATCTGTGTTCTACACAAAGTTAAAAGCACACGAGCTTTTTGGCTGATGTAATGCTGACATACAGCTGCATAGAGACAGCGCTGACATTTGATCAAAAACAAGGCAGGAAAATTAGAAGGTGTATGGCTGGATTTTAATGAAGGTGTGCCAATAATTTAAATAATCCAGGGTTTAGGTGCACCTTGAAACGCACTACATGAATTCCGATGCAGACTCTGGTTGAAATAGATATTGTAGTTCGGTCCATATGCATTTATTCTGCATTATGACACAGAACTGACTGCTTGCATCTATGTGTCAATCATGAAAATTAAAGGCAATTAAATATGAAACCTCCCCGCTAGTCTTCTCCTCCTACCCGTATTTTCCAGGTGCAAAACATTGTACAACTCAGCATCAAAATAAAAAGAAGAGCTGGGTTAACGCTGTAACATGCATCTATCACCCCTACTTATATAAAAGGTTCTGCTGTACAGTCTGTTTCCCACCTTTTCGCAGGAGAATCACGAGCTAGGTGCGAACATGGCTCCCTCTAGAGCTTGAGGATCAGACAAAAACACAGCAGGCAAACAGCCTCTGGCTCCAAAAGCTTGCTCGAAGTCCTCAGAAAGGCGGACATCCTGAGAAAGAGCAACATGCACGTGAGAGAGGCCAGGGAGCCTGTCGCAAAGGCCGCGCTTCTGAAAAGCTTCTGTCAGGGACTCTGTGCTACCTGTGAGAATGGCTCACCTTTCCACTGTAAGCTTGTAGGAAACGGGGTAACGGGCCCCGGCATTTTGGGAGAGGTGAGAAATCCCTGAGCGCTTGAACCTTGTTTGCTGCTCAGGTGAGCCTCGGCCAGAGCCGGGGAATGGAGGATGTGAGTCAGCTGAACAGTTGTGTCAAATGTTTTGTGAGACGAGCGCTGACATATTTAGCCCTTGGGAACGTAGAGGGTCTCTGAGTTAATTAACGCAGCGGTGCTTCCGTGCGACCCGCTTGCCCTCCAGAGCGGCCATTTCCCAGCCGGGGTCGCGCCAGCACCCCTCGCCCTCACCGGCCAGCCAGAGGTTTGGGGTGGTGGAAGCTGGCCCAGTGTCACCCGTAGCCCATCCTACAGCCGGGGAGCCCGGGGACAAGT